AGTCAAGGGAGGAGACAATCGCCTCACCTTTTCTTTTCCTCCAGGATAAACACAGGCCTTTAAATGACTTTCAGCAGAGGGGTAGACACTGGACACAATTGCAGGCTAGGATTAGGATTAGCCATGGTGATAGGCCTGTTTTATTCCCTTTTCCTTTCTATACCATACACACACCTCATAGATTCACCATATCTCCTTTACACACATTGCTGCTTTGATGCTTGCCCAAGACTGATTCATCTTCCACTCCAGACAGAAGAGGAGGCGAACCTAATGGCCACTTGCCAACTTCCTGTGCCAACTAAGGAGTTCAGGTTACACATATTTTCCTGTAGCATGTCAGCTGTGAAAAGAGATTAGCATGAACACACAGACATGTTAACATTGACGTGCTAACACCCGAATGACAATGTTAAAATGTCTAGTAAAAGTAATGTTCAATGTTAACTGCCTTAACTTAGCAAGTAAGCATTGTAATATGCTTGCTAATTAGCATTCAACATATGGTTTAAGACTGATTTGAAGTAATTTACGATTACATTTTAAACTGATAATTGCACCGAATGGAAAGTTAAGGGATCACCAGGGCAATTATTTCTGAGAGCGGCAATATTCACCTACCCGCACCTCTAAAGATCAATACTAGACAAGATCTATTTTATTTGCCTATTTCATTAAAACAAAAAGGACAATCAATGACATGTTTACTTGGCAGAATAATCCCGTCCCTGGTCTATTTTAACTACTAAACTTAGTCGAACAGCAGTCCTCACAAAACCCTCGGCCTCGTCTACAGAGAGCTCTCTGCAGGGATTGAATTGGATGCTACAATTTACAAAGATGATTTATATAACAGCCTAGCTTGTGTCAGCTTCACTATCAAGTTCGGACAGTCCTATTTGCATGGCTGCAGACATTCAAATTCAACATCGCCTCTGCTCTCCTGCAACACCCAAACAATTTCACCTTCAATCACCCGACATCAGATGAGATGAGGGAGTGTGTGGTCCTCTGATTAGACCAGGGAGAGAGGGATGGAGGGAGACATTGAGAGAGGGATGAATGGGTCCACTGGTGTCCCGACTGAGAATAAATGAATGAATGGGACAGTAATGAAAAGAGGAGGAGCCGGAGGGGAACAGGACATTCAGCGAGGCTGGTCTATAGCTGTTAAAAGAATTGGAAGAGAGGACATAATGAACACAGCTGAGTCTCAGGCTCGGGGCTGCGATTGCAATTGTCTCTTTTGGGTTCATCTGGGAACAGGTGGGTTTTGGAAAACTTGTTTTAAAGTTTGACCCCCGCTGTGTTAGAACTTGCACATCGAGACCATGAATCTGATAAACAGTTTAAACGGAATCTGAACATGATATTTCAGCATGTTTTCCACGTAAAGTGTACATGTTTTCCAGGAAGTGGTGTCTGCAAAATCAGTTGCCAAAGCCAGGGAAAAACATTTAAGATTGTATGTGGACAATACAACAGCAGCTTGGCTCTGTCCAACTGCTATCAACAAATTCCTTCCAGTGCCTCTAATCATCATCATCATCTTTATTTAAAGAGACTCTTGGTCCATTATTACAAGACATACAACACTCAAAAGTTCAGTAATGTACCCGCTATATCTCGATTGTTTAAAGGTTTTGCATGGTTTAGCGGGGGTCATTATGTGACAGTGTATTTCTTGGCTGGGATCAGGGACTTCCTATAGCCTTTGGACAGAGCAGGCTAGCTCTTTCTGTTTCTGGTCTTCATGCTAAGCTAAGCTAACGGAGTGCACTGTACACACATGTGAGTGGTATCAATCTTCCCAGCTAACTCTCAGCAAGAAAGCTCAAAAGCTTATATCCCAAAATGTCAACATATTAATGAAATTGCTAAAGTAACCAGACTACCCTTTTAAACAGAAAGACTTTTCAAACATGAACCCTCTCACACTGCCAACCTGACACTCTCCACAGTCTCGAAAATCAGTCATCATGGCCAAGTCTGGTTAATAATCATGTTTAAAACTCAAAACCAAGTATTACTTAGGATTGCTAATGTTTCCTCAAAGTGCAGAACATAGACCGCATATATAAGATGCAGATTGAAATGAAGACAGAAGACTCACTTTTCCATATGATGGCATATAAAGAGAGACTCAGCATAGGAAGACAGAGAAGAATGTAAAGACTTGTGAGGGGTTTGTTTCGGCTAAACATTTGCTTTGGCAGGCTCGGAGTAGAGGGGCGGTGTTGCACTAGTCCCCTGACATGCATCCAGAGGAGCCCCTCTGTCTTGACCATAAATCTGAATGGAGTGGGAGTTATCATACTTCACCCCCCTCCCTCCCTGACAAAACCCCGCATTCCTCCCAGACACTGCTTCGTACAAACAAAGTGGCCTGTTCCCACCGCTCGACATTGGGAAAGGCGATGGTTTGTCATGGAAAAATCCGGAGGCATCTCAAGAGTCCTTTAGAAGTTTTTTTTTTTCTCCCCCACAAGGCTCAGTTAAGGCTCAACACGTAGCATAGTGGCTGCATTTTCTTTCTTGATGGCAAACTATGTTGGAGGTGTAGTTCTTATAGTTCCAGTCAGATTGATAGTATAGCTAACTGTCCGAAAGAGCTGTGAGGACTGTGTGAACTGCATACACTCAAGCTTATTACAAACTAATTCATACAGAGAATTCACACCCTGCACAAAAGCCCAGAGATGCATTTCTACACACACATACACACACACACACACACACACACACACACAGTGTGCAATTGGAAGCAAGTCAGTATAGAAAACCCTGGTAACACATTCCATAGGAGTCTGCCTCCTTTCTCAAAGGGAGTCTTTTGTGCGTATTGAAAGGCAGAAGGGTTACAGGGTTTCTCCCTTTAGGGTGCTGAGAATAATACTCGCTCTCAAGACAATGACCTCATCCTGACACTCTCTCAGTCTCTCTGTGTGGATGTATTTGTGTGTGTGTGTGTGTGTGTGTGTGTGTGTGTGTGTGTGTGCGTGTGTGTGTGTGTGTGTGTGTGTGTGTGT